AGACAACTTAAGTGATAATTTTTTCAATATGATCTTTCCCAGATTCTCCAGAAAAAAAATTCATGTGCACATCTTCAAAGACAACCAACAATGCATCTTCATGTAAACTTGTAGCTTAATTCCACCCAAAAGAGGATAATTTCACATTTACGAGCATATTCATTCAAGTGTTGAAGGCACAGGAAATCTGTGCAGAAATCAAATTTGTTAACCAAAATATTTTTTTTTTTGCTGAAGCATAAAAAAGAAAGAAAGAAAATAAGATAAAATAAAATAAAAGAAAAATCAATAGAACAACAATTTCATTTGGCTTCTAAGCATTTTATAAATAATATCCTTGGAAGGATTACAGGCCACACAACAGTATCCTACTGATCTCAATCAGGGACTAACTATACCTTCTTGCACACTATATATATATAGAATCATATATATTTTAGATCCATGCACCTATGAAGAGAAGAGGTGGACTTTCTTAGTTAAAAGAATAGCCTGTCTAGTAATGACTGCCAAGGTATGGATGATATAAACCTGTCATGCCTTGCCTTGTCAGCACATGTATCAGAGAGCTTACCTGGGTTTGCTTATGTTATTGTCAGTTGCATAAGCCCCCCCAAAAACAGGAATAAAATAAAAATAAAAATAAATTCCAGCTCCAAAAATTCTAAACCCAAAGACAAAATAAATATATTTATAGATATGCTTGTAAATATACACATTCATACTATCCATAGATCAAATATCTGAACTATAATCTAAAATCACCTGCAACTCCTGCTTCTGAGATATTGTGGTTCCTTAAAGTACATGTAATGGACAGATGCAGGCAATGAGAAACCGTCAGGTTGCCGATGTTTCTTGATTTAGGTTTCTGATTAACAATCAGCTTCTGTATTGTTTACCGATGAGGTTCAAAGTTGAAAAAATTTGTTGGTCTCATTGTTGCAGTTATTTTATAATAAATTAATGTCAATAGAAGCTCATGATATTTAAATGTGATCAAATAGGTCCTTAGTTAAAAGGAGATTTCTACTTGCTTTTGACTCTTATATCTAAAACCAGTTCTCAAGTATACTGTGTGGAAAAGAAACACTGAATGATCACATGGACATTGGAATGCATGCTGAGATGATAAGTGTAATCTTCTTAGGATATTACACATAGAAGAACATGGCTTAATATTTCTTCTAACCCAAATCTGAGCTACAATATGTCCATATGCAAGTTCTTTTTTCAATTCAGTTTGCAGTGTCTCTAAACTATTTATCATCAAGTATCAATTGTAGAGTATTTCACATGCCAGACATTCCTTGCCATCATCTACGACACCAGGGAACATGTGGCACATTTCTTTAAAAATTTCCAGTCCCTTGGCTTTAGTGATGCAACAAAAACTTTGTACCTCTCAACCGTACAGTTCTTCCTAATTGTGATGGATAGTGAAAAATTTTATCAGAAAAATTAAATAAAAAATCAATGAAAGTAAAATAAAATTGTAATAATAACAATGATAAAGATAGACAAGACCTCCAACAACCGTCCTGCTTTATAAATAAGGTTACACAACCACATCACATTGTATCCACTGCTGTGAGTATATCAGGAATAACCTTTCAGATTTTGTTTTTTATTTCTAAAAAAAGATTTAACAATTTTCTGCCCTGTACAGCCAGAAGCTATTTCTTACACATGGGTATTTTGCAGTAGGCTATACGACAATTTAGCTCATAGAAAAGAATATTAAAACTGTACTATTTCAGAGATTCCTAAATAAACGCTACAATGTTGCAGAGGTACCTGTATGTCAGTTTAGGAAGTGAAAAAGTTCATAATATAAAAAACAAGGTAGCCACTACAATATCAATACAGAGAGTAAAGAAAAATACTAAAGTGAGTGAGAGAGAGACAGTGAAAATGAGGTCAAGAGATCTCGGCCGAAAAGGAAGCTGACATCCCTTTTCACCTTGCTATTTCTTCCAAGGATGTATTTACTACATATCCTACCTATTTATTCCCAAAAATAAAAGCTGACTTGACCATACCTACATAAAAACAACCTAACAAGGGGGTGATATCACAGCACCATGAGAGGGAGAGTACATTAATCATGTACATTAAGTATCCTTTGACTGTTCAGCTAAAGCAACAGAACTTTTTGAATAAAATGATACACATCTTCATACATACACAATCACACATATATAACTATATAATTATATAATTATATAATTATATAATTATATAATTATATATATATATATATATATATATATATATATATATATATATATATATATATATATATATATATATATATATATTTGTAATTATATATATCATATATAATATATCACATATTATATATAATATATTATATATTATGTTTACACACATGCATGCACACATGCATATATATATATATATATATATATATATATATATATATATATATATATATATATATATATATATATATATATATATATATATATATAACCCTGCAAACTAGTAACCACTTGCCAGAAGGAAAACCTATTCAACAAATAGAAAACTTTGAATACAAAAGATACAGCTGCTCAAAGTTAATCAGTAGGATGATATAGTAGCGATTAAACTTTTTATAAAATAACTATCATATTCCTATTACTGGGATCATTCACTCACTTTTGTGAAAATGACTGTTGAAATCATCCCCCTGTTCAATGATAAAATCTCTGACAGTCCAAACTCTAGAACTAGCACAGAAGACGATGGTTATTTCAATCTCACTATTCATGAGTACTATTTCCCTTTCTCTCTGTGGACAACCCACCAGGCTAATAATAGCTAGTTGATCAGTACACTGACATATAGGAATTGAATAACCTGCCTATGCTGCCACCTGCTATGCTGGTGGACCTTCAAACTACTTCTTAATCTTTAGTCTCATGGAATTAGATTTGTTTCTTGGGGCTGGGCTTGTGGTCCAGGATGTCTTTGTTTCATCCTTGCTGTCTGTTGATCGCTGGAGGCTCAGCTCCTTGGCGCCACTGTTGGGAATATTGGATTACATCTAAGTAAGTCTTGTAAGTATCAACAAAATATGTTAAATTTGCAATCAATTCACTACTGTTAAATACTAAAATCGGTGTATTTAAAAAGCAACTTTTCCTGCAGTTATCTTATGAATTCATTAATGCTATATGCTGAAAAATGCATCAAATATGGGTGTATAAGCAATCCAGTATACTAAACCCAAAAACTTGAAAGGAACTTCTATAGTGTTGAATAATAAAAAAAAGAGAAAATTTTTCCCTCACAGGGCTGGTACTTACATGTGTTTTGTTAGATCTTCAATGTCAACCAACATAGAGTCTTGCTCCATGTGCAGGTCATCTCGCTCCATCAGTAAAGTGACTAAATCTTCATTCAAGCCTAAAAAAAAGGAAATGTGTTATTATCTTTTTTTGAAAGTATATATTAAATAATGTTAATAATAATAATGACATACATACATTACAAAGTCTCACATTTTATAACAAACATTAAAAAGGAATATTCCTTTCATCACATATAGATAGTCCCCTACTTAAGAACATTCCATACATACAAACGAAAATTTTTTAAGTGTTAAAGTCCAAAAAATTGTTTGAAAGATGCTAGCAAACTTCAAATTTCCCGGGCACGAATATAGTTCAAGAGTCTGGTACTGTATAAGGTATGTTGTACTTATTGGGATTTATTTACAGGTATTCTTAATGTAAACAAAACTTTAAAACAATGGGAAAAAAGGTAATGGAGAACCGACTTTCGACATACAAACAAATTAACTTACAAACAGCCTCTTGGTCCCCATTATGTTCTTAAGTTGGGGACTTACTGTACTTTATTTACTGGCAAATATTAATTCTAGGATCTTGTACTATATCCATAAATAAAATAAAAACAAACTACCTACTTTCAATTTGTGTGTGTAGGTCATTTGCAATAACTTGCAACTGTGCAACATTCATGTCTGTGAGAATCTGCCTGCTGATTCGCCTCTTGCTGTCTGGGAATGGCACACCAATCTGCAATACAAACAGATGTAATATGTAAGTTATAAACTCGAAATTAATCTAATCTAAATAGATAGGGCCAATATGATTATCACTTTAAAAAAATCTTTAAAAAGGTAACAAAAGAACTAGGTCCATGTTAAATGTAAATGAATGAATACACTGGCAATAACCCTACTTACCCAAGAAACAAATAATACAATAAGACCAAAAATAAAACATCACTTTGCAAAACAGAAATAATTTTTCTCCGGATCTCAATCAGTGCTTCCGGTGACTTACCTTGTGGAAGCTCTCCCTCACAATCTCTGCAATGGGACTCTTCTTTTTCTGCTGCTTCTCAATCTCCATTTGCATTCTGGCCATTTCCTTAGCCTGTGCAAGCGCCAAGCGAGCCTCTGCTTGCAGCTGTGCTTGCCGAGCGAAGAAATCAACCTCCTTCTCCCTAATATCAGATTCAGAGTTTGACGTCCGAGTCCTTGTTGGTTGTGGAGTTGAAGCCTGTAAAAGAGTTTTGTAAATGCTTAATACTTGTTGCTAATTTGGTAAATATCAATACACAGCTGAATTTAATGGCACAACAATAGCATTATTGTATCTTATACTCACTGGATTAATAATGAAAAGTGAACAAGAATAAGAAGAAAAACAATTCCATTACCAATGCTGTTTAAATAGAAAACAAAAACACAAACTTCAACATACCTTGCTGTTTGAAGATGAGGTTGAGACCCGATCTGTTTCTATTTCTCTATCTTGAGTACTTTCTGTGTCTGAGCACTGGCTTTCACAGTCACTGGCTGTCTCATTCATGAAACATATTTGTAGGTTCATACCTGAGGAAGTACAATGCATGGTTAATTCAAATCTTTACAATCATCTACATACTCCAAAGTCATAATCCGTCAAATTTGTATAGTTCTTTTAATTTTATCTTATGAAAGTTTTCTCAATTCTAAACATGTCCTTGTTTGTAGTTTACAAAAACATTATTATTTTCTCACACAAAGATCCTTCTGCACTCATTAACTACTTTTTTTTTGCTACTTCCAAGTTTAACCCAATGGTACCAGGTAATCACTCTCTCTAATACTGTTTTCCTCGTACCCTCACCTGATTTTGCTTTTTGTTGAATTTCTGGATTTTTTTTTTCTAATGCTATTAACATAATTGTTGTCATTATTGTTGTTGAGCATTTTGATTACTATAATGTTATTAACAATACTATTAAGAATTAAAAAAATATAAAACGAATCTTTTCACAAATCAAGGAAAAGGGTGAGGTGAGCTAGGCAGGATTAGTAATTGAAGACAATAGACAAAACAACAGTGGATATGGCATGTGTTCGTTCAATCCTGGCAACAATGGGTTAATTACACCACATAATAACCACTCCTTAATTCATCACACAAAGAATACACTGCCCTCTTTCGAGGAAACTTACCACTCTGTAAACGGGAATGTAGTGATGGCTTGCGATATGGCCTCTCCATGAACTGGTCATCATCCACCCCCATGGCCAGTTTCCGCCGAATCTCCTCTCGGTCATTGCGCCGCTGAAAGGAGGAAAACACAAATATCAATGAACCGTTCATCGACTTTGGCAGAGTTCGGTCTTGAATAATCTAATACATTGGTATCAGCTATCAATGACATGAGAAAATAATGTAAAAAATTCAAAGATAGTCTAAAAAATCCATATCTAAGACTAACTACAGATGCAATATTGTCAGCAGAATAATAAGCCATCTCGAAATAAAAGACAAAAATGTTCTGATATGAAAAGTCTGGCTGTCACCACACAAAGACTTCTTGAATCTATAAACATCCTATTCTAATGAAAGAAAAGAAAACAATAAAAATAAACAAAATAAAACAAAAGAAAGAAAGAAGAGAAAAAAAGAAGAAAAAAGAAAAAACAAAGTTATTTTCCTAACAATGTCCTCCCTCCTCTCTCTGCTTCTACGTGGCATTACCCTTTCTGGATGATTATAAAAAGTCTCCTGAGGTCTTTCGTCATCATCTTCCGACCTAATGACGCGAATGAACTTTTCCACAATGTCCTCTTCATCTGTGTTATCGTTGTTAATGTAGGGCAACCAGTATTTGCGATTGTTCACCAGCACAGGCCATTTTAACTGTTCTAGCAGAGTTGGGTACTTTTTGGGCTCGGGTGAAACCGAATCATTGCCATTGTTGTCGTTGGCCTCACTCGCCTCGTTCCAAATGATCTTAGACACTCTGTCCGACTGTGACTTGAGTGACGTGAACAGCTGTGAGGACACTTTGGCCGTTTGGGATTTGATTGAGTTTAGGCTGACCGAGGAGAGGCTCAAGTTTGAGGGGAGTCTTGACAGGGAATTTGGCGATCCATATGCCTCGTCTGCATCTTTCGTCTTTTGTGGCTTGAGCTGGTTTATTATATTACTGAACATGTTGGGGTCAGTTTAGTTTCAGGTAATCTATCCATTAATTCTGATGGGATTCCAGAATAAAAAAGAAAAAAATCAGATATTTGCAGGATAGAAATTATCTCCAAAATAAAATTTAAGAAGAAAAGGCAGAAAAAAAAATCACATACACTGGATTCATACCAAAGAATAACTATTAATGTCATTAACTAATGTCTGAGCCCATTTTATATATAATTCTTCAGCATTTGCAATTTTTCACAAAATCACAAATACAATAATTTTATAGCAATATAACAATTTCCCCATTTACTGCTATCAACACATGTTAACTATAGTTATCATCTTATGGATAAACCTGGCTTATAATTAATAACAATTTCCATTTTCTGAAGTAATATCTCATTAATAAACCACCTTTGTTTTAGACGTAGGATTTCTTCCCAATTTTGCAATGCAATGTCACAGTCACATGTCAGCATTTGCTTTACTTACAATGCAGTTATCTGTGAATAAAATGAACTGTTTTCATATCTGCATATATGTAATCATTTCATGACAAATATAATGTCCACATACAAAATATCAATGGTAAAGCTGACGATCCAAGATATAAAACTTTTCACTGGAGTTAATTATGCGTTTTCGTTAACCCAGCATTCACTCCAGAAGCATCTACACCTTGCACAGCCCCATTAATAAGCTTCCAAAACATAACACACAACACTTCAGCCTCCTGCGAGACCCCGCCCACCAGCCCATGAAATCACGCCCATGAAACCCCTTCCCCCTCGAGGGCCACAAATCACGCCCATGAAATCACACCTCGACACTTCAGACCACGCCCACCTCCTCCCTACGACCTCCCCGACACCCACATTAACCTCCCCCCAAAGAACACTCATTTCTCCTCTCTCCGGATAATCGCGACTAATATCTGCCTTGTTGGACGCCTAAAACGAGAGAAAAGGGGAGGAACTGGAGGGTCGCCGCTGGAACACGAGAGACGGAAAAGGTAATGCGGGTGCTCACCTTCCTCTCGCGTCGCGCCGCTGCCAAACCTCTGCTGATTTTTTTTTTTTTTTTTTTTTTTTGGGGGGGGGGGGCCTTTTGAAGGGGTGTTTCTGTTATTGATTGGGAGGGGGTGGGGGTAATTTAGTTCGTTGTTCTAAGATTGTATGTTTTTGTTGGTTGTGGGTTGTGTTTTTGATTGATTTTATTTTATTATTTCCGTTTCATATTATTTGGTCTATTATGTTGTGACCTGATGATTTTTTTCATCTATATGTTACTGTCAATAATGAATCTTTATAGCTAGTCCACCAAGAAGAGAAATATGGCGGGAAAACAAGCGAAAAATCGTAACTACAAGGAATTCCTGTGTTCAGTCACGTGGCACCACCGCACGTGACACTCGCATCCGTTCAAATCTCCGAGACAAAGACTTGCATAAATCGCAATACTACATACATCTTATATACATGAATACGTGTATGTATGCGTGCGCACGCGTGTTAGTGTAGGTGCGTGCATGCGTGTGCAAATGCGCGTGTGTGTGCATATCCATGTTCGTGTTTATGATACGGTCCACAAAATCGTTTCTTGTATTTCATGAATAAAGCGTGACGAATAAGAATGAGAAGTTTATTGCCATTACGAAGACGGAATTGAAATTATATATATATATATATATATATATATATATATATATATATATATATATATATATACATATGTGTGTGTGTGTACTGAACAATTACATTTCTGAATGTATATTCAAAATTCCTCATTAGCTATTCGGATAGCGCTTCACTAACCGAGTCTTAAATTCCAGGTAAATGACCTATACAGTCAACATGACACCGCTATCACCGTTACACACGACCTTGTTACGTTACCAAAGTGTCATATCAAGCTAGATTGACCCTCCCTCTGCCCTGTGTCAAAGTACCATTTTAGGGACGCACTTGATTCAAAATAAGCTACCATTTGTCGTTTAAAATTGCCACCTCAAGGAGTATTCACGTACTTTGCCTTTACACGTGGTTTAATTCAGTCGTCGGGCGTCACAACAAGGAGCAGACTTGTTTATCGAAAGGACCTGTCTCGGGTCTGGGGCCTGGGAGGGTGCGTGGGTCCAACCGGGATGAGGGGAAGGGGAGAGGGGGATACCCAGTCGGCTGGGGGGGGGGCGGCCGAGGGGAGTCTGATAGGGATGAGGGGATAGGGGAGAGGATGGGAGAGGGGGATACCCAGCCCCGCCTACCCCTTGTGGTGGGCTGGTCCGTGTCAACTTTCAAGTCTGACAAACTGTAGGGGGAAAGGGTGGGGCATTTGAGGGGGGGGGGGGCAGGTCTGGCTAGTAAAAGGGGTTCTCGTTAGCGGATCTGTTGTTTGTGATACTGTAGCTATGTTTACGTTTTAATTTATTCTTTTGTGAAAGCGTCGTGGCTCATTTATGTTCAAACTACCGATGTACCTTTCCCCACGATATCTACTGAGTGACAGCGCTGAGTATCCTTCGATTTCAAGTCTGTGAAAATCGTATTATTATAAAATACTTATGACAGGTTTCGCAATACCATAGCTGATTTCAACGGTTACTTTCTTTTATTTAAGTTAAATGGGCTGACAGTCCATAAATCAGTCAATCATAGCAAAATCATTCAATAAGATCCCGGACCAGTCATCACTTGAACACAATCGAAATTTCAATCCGAGATCCTGTTGCCTCTCAACACTGACAAGCGACTCCAAACAAACAACTATTCTATTATCTTTTTTAAATACTGCGAAAGGCGACGGTTGAAAGACACGGAGATGAAGAGCGGAGTGAATTATGTGTCACAAAAGAGTTAACACAGACCAGATGACGTTGGGGGATTGGCATGCGAGTGGGTGAGGCGTCGCGGCTTCTCGGGGTCTGCCTCTTCTCACGCCGCCGCGAAAATGATAAAAGCCGGGCAAAGTGGCCACGTTACCTCATAACAAGGCCGTTTAAGTGGAATCCAAGTGGACTCTGGGGTTCTCTCGGCAATCTCGCAACCTCTTTACGGAATGGAGTTCGGTCTCCGCTTGGTAGAAAGACTAGTTTCCGTGCCGTTTCTTCTGGTTTGCCTTATGGTAAGCATAGGGAAAGTACAAACTCGTCAGCCAAGCTCCATCTCCGACTGGGATTTGGCTGTTTCTCAATCGCTCGGACATCCATTTACAGTCGAAGGGAATGAAGCATGCACGGAGAATTTCCTTGCCCGAGAAAGCCAGTCGGTCACGGTTAACCTGAACATCAACACTTTCGAAGATATTGAACCGCTTGGCCATGGCGAAGGAAAAAAAGAGAGAAATATATCGTAGTTGGGGGATGACGATACCGATGCCGACTTTCACCCCGTTTAAATAGATCTTGAATAGCCAATATAGACCGAGAGTGAGGGTGTGGCCCTGACATGTATACAGAACCAGCAATCTAGCAGACAACATACAATTTAACGAGAGGCGTAGGATGACTTTAAGTGAAAGCCAAATTTCTCTGTCACGTGGATTCCATTTCTTTCTCTTTCAATTTGGTGACAGATCATGGGCCTCTTTCTTTCCAGGCTCTGTTTCCCAGCCATTCAGACGATAGACACGAAAGGAGATCAAACCCACCACTGAAGGCGATTTTTAAAATTCTTTGAATGATTGAATTATGAAAAAAAATCCTTCAGTGATTTCGAATCTTTTCTTTTTCAGTGATAGACTTATTCGAATGGCATTGTGAAATGAATGTCGAAAACTTGAAAACTCCCTTGACATGACATAGAGATGCAAAGTCATTATTTTTCCTCTGTTTACATCCGAGCCTAGTTTTAAAAAAATCTATTATCTCTAAACAAAACGGCTGATTGTGCTGTTGCATGAGCACATATCTGAACCGCAAAACTTGGCTAGATAACGGCACTGTTGAGCAGAATCAACATACGGATCACTGGCTTACCGCTGGTGACGAGTGACTTCTCAAAGCGATTTTTTTCTTTTGATAATTGGAATGTTTTTTTTTTAATTGAGAAACGACTCATATTATAAGTAATCTCAACATCTCTCCGTCTCCATCTCTCATTTCCCTTCATGGTTCTCTCCGTCCCAGCCACCCCCTTTCTCTATCA